AATTTTTTTCTACAATGTCTTGTGATTTTCTGTGTACAAGTCTTTCGCCTCATTGACTAAGTTTATCCCCAGGCATCTCATTCTGCTAGATGCTTTTGTGGATGGAGCTGCTTTAATTTCCTTTTAAGACTGTTTGTTGTTGGTGTTTTGAAACACAATGGATGCTTGTGTGTTGGTCTTATATCCTGCAACCTTACTGAAAATTCATTAGCTCTAGTAGTTTTCTTGTGGATTCTTTGAGACTTTCTGTAAAAATAGGATCGTGTTATCTTTGAATAGAATTTCAGTGCTTCCTTTCCTGTTTGGATGCCTTTTGCTTCTTTTTCTTGTCTAATTGCTCAGGCTGGAATCTCTAGGACCATGTTGGATAGCAGTGGTGAATGCAGACATCTTTATGTCTTTTCCTATTTTCCAGAGTTTCACCATGGAGTATGATGTCAGTTGTGGCCGTTCATAAATGTCCTTAATCATTTTGAGGAAGTTAAAGGAAAGTAAACCACCACTTTAGCCTTTTTACTCTTTTTCTCCCTTAACCTCAGAAGCCTCATTTTGTTTATTAGTGTCCCCACTAGTTCATCTAAGAATTTTGCTTTGTCTAATCATCTGCTATGTAAGTGTTCAATATTTGTCTTTGTCATGCTGACTTGCTTTACTACACACAATCCTAACGCCTTGTATTTTGCTGCAAAAGATAACATTTCATCTTTCCTTATGGCTGAATAGTACCACATCTTCTTGAATCAATCCTCTGTCAGTGGGTAGTTATTTTGTTTCTATGCTCTAGCTATTGTAAATAATGCTGCAATAAACATAGTGGGCCATATAATTTTTTGAGTTAATGTTTTCATGTTCTTTGGATAGAGGCCCAACAATACAATTGTTGGGTCATATGATTTTTCCATTTTTATTTATTTTTTCCCCACTTAATATTATTTTATTTTATATATTTTTTACATCATTTTCCATTTTTGTGCAATGTATGCATTTTCATCTTGGTCATAGTCCCCATATATTTTTTTAAGATTTATTTATTTATGCATACAAGAGCTGGGGTATAGGCCAGAGGTGTGGCAGAGGTGAGAGGATTCACCAGAGACAGAGTGGGGAGCAGAACAGGCGGACCTACTGAATTACACTGCTGAGGGGAGCAGGGGGTGAGACAGGAGAGGTCTGCTGTGCCATGTGGGTTGCTCCCTCACCAGCTGGGGAATCGAACTCGTGCTGCAGTGGCTGGTGATAGCTTTGATAGTGCTTTCTTTAACCCCTATAAATCCAGAGCACTTTACAAAATGGCTGTACAAGTTTACATTAGCAAAAGGTATTTGTAGAAATAATTTGAACTGCATCTAGGGATGATTTCCTATTGCTCTTGTCAATTTCCAGAGACCTGAGGAATAGAGGGTTACCTCAATCCAATTTGGGGTTTGTGATTTCTGAGTGCTTGCAATCAGAGGTGAGGCTGGCTTATTGGTGGACTCACTTATTCCTTGGGATGCCGCTGCCTGGGGTTCTGTCACAAAGCAGTGGACTATCTTGCTGGGTCCGCCCTTGGGATTCCCCGGATTCAGAGCTCATCTTCTAACCCCATGGGGCTGCAAGAGCTAGACGTGCAAGTTCCTCCAGCAGAGGCTGCCCAAAAGCTGGTCACACTTCTGGATTCCTTTTCTTTTTGGATGTTGGCCTGATGCTCCCTTGGTATCTCCACAACTCTTTGATACTTTTAAAGAAGATATTTAAATATAGTTCATCTGGCTTCTTGGTTGTCTTCAGTAGAATAGGCTAACCTGCTGATCATGGAATGGAAACTCTGTGTTGTCTTCCTTTTCCAGAAGGAAATCCAAGTTTCAACTTGTGAGATCCAAGTTCAACTTTCTTCTGCCTTATAGAGGACACAAAGGTACAAGCTTGGATCTCATCCATCTAGGTACCTGTTGAGAAGAGCAGGAATCTGAAACAAGTGAGGCATCTGTACGTGTCATTCATTTCCTCGTGATGTGAGCAGGTGTGCAAGCTGCTGGGCACAGAAGACTCAATGGCCTCAGTCTATGTGATTCATCTCATAAAGGCAGAAGAAAATGTTGCTATACATTGGTCCCAGGGGTCCCTAACAATCTCTCAAAACACTAGGACATGTGTTATTATAATTCTTTCACATGAAAAAAGCCGTTTCACATAAGGAACGTTAATGCGTAGTAAGGATCAGAGGTGGGGTGAAGCCCCTTCCCTCTCTCCCTTCCTTTTGTTGTTTTTTTTATAAATCCTTCCATGAAATCATCTCACTTTATTTCTCTCCAATCTCAACTGCTTACCGAGGTAATTTTGGCTTCTGCATTTAACAAAACAGAATTTTAAAATTCTTTGAGATAAATAATTGTCAAAAGAACAAGGTGATGTTAATTTCTGGATCAGTATCTCCCTCTGCCCCTAAATAAAATTTCACAGAGAAGGTCAATTTTTCTCCTAACTCACTCACATTAGCAACCCCTGACGTACTGCCTGGGGTGGGGGTGTCCTTTCATGCTACTTATACATAAGAAGGAATTGATTCACAGATACATGTGGAAGCACATCTAATACACAAGTGGAAATTCACTGGAGGTTTCCAACCTTGGGTCATTCTCCTCATAGTGGACCAGCTGGCACATTCCCTTGTATTTAATTTATCACTGACACCTCCCAAACATCTCCACAATCCACCTGATTCAGAATAGCTCCAACATGGCTACCTGAATCCAAACACTGTCTCCTCAGGCCTACATGATGGTTACAGCATCCGAATGCTCTCCATTCACCCGGACAGCCCCTTGATCCATTTTATGTATTGTGGTCAGAAAATTCTTTTCAAATGGGCATGCTTCAGGGCTCTGGGTGGAACACTCCCTAACATTGAATCCAGTTACAAGTGGCTTTGGAGCAGTTATCTGCTTGCTACCAGTCTCTCTAGCAGCCTGGGTGGAGAGGAAGCAGGTGGACAGGAAGCTTGTCTGCTTCCTTTCATCCTCATGTCCTCAATGTTTGGCACTGAGGGTGTGTTTAACATATTTCTTGAATATTACACAGTGTCAATTAACTACACAGCTTACATAGTGGTTATGCTTCTCTGTTTCTCTTCTTGTACCTGTCTGGTCCGTTTGGTTCACAAATGTGCTCTAAGAGCCTAAAAGGGTGCTTCATGATGAGCCCTTTGGGCCTTTGATTGAAGGAATGAATAAAGAAATGAAGGAGCGAGGTGATTGGAGCGAGAACCCAACTTCCTGGCAGTCCAGGATCATGCTTTGGTATTGTTCCAAACCCTTAAAAAAGTGCTGCCCTGCAAATTTCTAGATAGGAAATGTCTCCAGGAAATTTGAATGTGTACGCCAGTACTCTAAATGATGCCGGCCAGAGGCTCAGTGGTGTCATAGATAAGAACTGGAGGAGAGGCAGCGTTGGCTATAGGCCAACAATTTGAGGTCAGCCACTTTATCTGTGGAATTCCCCACCCCCTGCTCATCACTTGGCCATCCCATTAAATTGGAAAATAAATCCCATCCCTGCCAAGGTGTTGGCTGATAAAGGCTTGAGCTATTGCCCCTTCAAGAGGAATTTGCATTTTAATAGAGGCTCCTCAAGCCCCAAAGGAATCAATATCTCTAACGGTGAAATTTCAAGCACCAGTAACTGTGATATTTTGGGGCGAGACTCTTCAGCATTTCCAGATCCAATAGGGGACTCCCTCGTTTGGTCAGAGGCTGTGGGAGGACAGTGCCTGGACTCACCATTTCTCTTTATTGCTATGCACTTTGCCTTTTTATGCCCGATCCCTTCAGACTTCCTGACACTAGTGGGTGTCTTCATATGTCAACACAACCCTTTCCAACACCAGCAGTCTGCAAGTTGTCACCTCAACAGGGCCACAAAGCGAGATGTGCCATTCAAAACCCCCAAGTTTTTCTGGTACAATCAGTTCCTTAAAACCTTCAACTGGCCAGAGGGAGAAGAGATGATGTAACAGATCCTCGGCTATATTGTTCATTTAAATTCGTTTCGTGCTATTTGTTTCAAGCCCAAACTTTTTACTCCCACCCAGAGCCCTGCAAACGAAAGGTGGGTAGAGGCACCCGCTTGGGAACTGGGGATGTTTTAAATGCCTCCTCCTGCAGGGCCGAGCTCCCGGCGATGGCTTGGGAAATTCTGGAACTGCAGAAAGGGTAGCGTGGCTCTGGGGATTCCTGATTCCAGAGCGGCTCCCGCCGCCACACCTGGAGCACAGCGCTCCGCCTTCACCCCGCGTCCTGCGGGGCCATCGCCCGGTGCCCGCGGCCCCCGCGGGCTCGGCCCGCCCAGCCCCGGCTCCAGGCCCTCCGCGTGGCCGGCCCCGGTCCCGCGGCGGGGGCTGCTGCCCGCGCCCTTGACGCGACTTCGGCGCCCCTTCTCCATCCCGCCCCGCCGCCACCGGGGCGCGGGGCGCGGGCGCCGAGGCCGGGCCGCGGGGGCCGCACCTGTGCCCACCGCGCGCTCCCCGCCCGGGCCCCGCTCGCGCTCTCGCCCGGCCGGGGCTCAGCGCGCGGCGGCGGAGCTCGCGCCCGGGGACAGCGGCGGCGCCGGCTCGCGCCCGCGCTCGGGCCGGGGCGCGCGCGGGCGGGCGGGGAGGGCGCAGCGCGGCGCGGGGCGGGCAGGCGGGCGGGCGGCGCAGCGGCCCTGCGGAGCGGCGGCGGCGGCATGGGCGCGGGCGCGGGCCGGGGCTGCGGGCGCCAGGCTCCTCGCCCGGCCCGGCCGGCTCCCAGCGCGCGGCCGCCGCAGCGCCCGCGCCCGGCGGGGAGGCCGTTCCCGCGCCCGGCGCAACTTGCCTCGGACCCTCTGTGAGCACCGGCGGCGGCGCGCGCGGAGCGGGGCGAGGCGTGGGGCGGCGGGCGCGATGCCTCCGGCCGGGGGGCCCCGCGCGCCGCGCCCCGCCGCGCTGCCCCGCAGCCTGTCCCGCCTGCGCGAGTGCCCGGGCCGCTCCCGCATCGTGCTGGCGCTCGGGGCCACGCAGATGGCGCTCGGATGCCTCATCGTGGCCGTGAGCTTCGCCGCGCTGGCGCTCACCACCTCGGCCCGCGTCCGCCACTCCTGCCCCTTCTGGGCCGGCTTCTCGGTGAGTGTCCGCGGCCGCCGGGGACGGGGCGCCGGGCGGGGGCGCTGGCCGGCCGGCCGGGGCGCGCCAAGTTGGGGGCGCGAGCGCCCGGGCCGAGCCGCTGCGGCGCGGGGTGCAGTTCAAAACTCCGAGCGGGAGAACTCCGGGCACCTGACTCCCGCCCGGGAGCCCCGCGCTGCCGCTCCCCGGGCGCGGGTCCGGGAGTTACTTTTCCGCGAGGAAGCGGGAGCCCGGCGCGCGCCCAGCCCGCGGCGGTCCCGGGGGCGGCGGGAGCGGCGGGCGGCGGGCGCGGGGTGCGCGCCTGGGCGGGCGGCGGAGCCCCGGGGCGCCGCGCTTGGGGCACCCGGGACCCGACCCGGCCGCGCTGGTGCCGGCGCTGCCCGCCGAGCCAGGCGACCCAGGCGGGGAGGTGGGATCCTGCGCCCCCGCGGGCGCCTCGTCTTCGCCGCGGCCTTGGCGGGGAGCTGGGGCGCAGGGAGCGCCCCGTCGGGGTACAGGTTCGTCCCGGGGGCCGGCCAGCACCCCTGCGGCCACTCGCCGACTTGGCGTCGGGACTTGGCGCCTCCCGCGCGCACCAGAAACCGTGCACTTGGGCTGGGCGGGCGGCTGGCGGCCGGCGCCCTGGGGGCGTGTTTTCTGAGCTCAGGGTGACCGATTTTCAGGATGTTGACCCCCCAAAATCAGAGAAGCCAGGGACTAACAAGCCTCCATAGGAGACAGGAACCAGGAAATCGCTAGTAAAGGAGGGGATTGTGCCCAAGCGTCCATTTTTGGGGTGCCTTTTACAGCCTCCGATGAAAGTTGTTTTCCCCCCTCTATTTAATAAAGAATGGACATGTGGAAATGGGGGAAATATATGCAGAGCAGATATTTATAAAGAGAGGCACTTGCTCTGAGAACTCTTGACATCTGTAACTACATTTGGTTTATGGTGCTCAAGTACGTCTCTTGGGCTTACACTGTAAACTCAGTATGTTTTAATTCCGTCTCCAGAAATCCAACCCAAGCCTTTGTAATGCAATGCTTGCAATTTGTGCTTGAGTTTTAAAAAAATTCACATTTCTGTCCAGCTTTTCCTTTTTGTCATTCTTTTTCTTTCGTAATGGCCTTTGTTCTCTAAGTCCATTGCAGGGCTGTTGAAATGTGATCTGAACACAGCTGTAACACCCTGATCGATACAGGTGTGGTTCTTCATCCCAATAGGGGCATTAATTTCCAAAGCTTATTTCAGACCAGGGGTGAGTGTTGGACAGCAGAAGGTGTGTCCCAGCCCTCTCAGTGTTCAAATCCCAGAGAGGGGGTTAGGGGCAGGAACACCGGAGCCTCTATTCACATGGGACACTATATATAGTCTTCGCACATCTGTTGCTCAAAATTTAGCATTATTTAATATGCATTATTTAGGTGGCGTCTGTCTGGTGGGCACTGAGGTTTGTGTCTGCTGGATCCAGCCTACAGGTGGCAGACTGGTAAGTTAGCGTCTGCACTTCCTGGCTCCTCCCTTAGCATGGCCTTCCCCTGTTTAGATTTAGCTGTGGCTTTGGTGCTTCCAAGGGCGTGGAAAAAAGCTGCCTTTTAATAATCAACCTAAAAGGGAAGACATTAATTGGACACAGTAGCAAAGTTATGTGAAAAATATATATGCATCTCATTTTACTCCAAAGTGTTAAATCAATATGTTAAGCAGTAACTCAGTTTGCATTTCCCGTGTTATTCCTTTGACAACTATAACCTATTAGTCCTGACTTCCCGTGCTGCAGAGTAATTCCACAAATGTCTGCTGTGAGCAGATGCTCCTCTTGGCTCTGGGGAGCAATAGTGAGCACAGTGGACTCTGCTTACATGTTAGGGATTTTGAAGGTAACTTCTGCCCTCAGTCTCTCTCCCACCCTCTCACCCTCTCAGCTACTTCTCACGGGCTTGTTTTCTTTCTTCAAGATTAATCGGCCACAAGCACTTTTAAAATTCAGTACAGTGCATACCGTTTTGCATGTGTTCTCTGCCCTTTGCAGAAACGGAGCTGTTATGTTGGGCCAGGTTTGCATGTGAGTGTGGCAGCAGCCCCTCACCATGTGTGTCTCTGTACTCCGAGACCTAGAAACTGCCTTGCCAAAGGACACTTTTCCATTCAGGAATGTGGCCCGCTTTTTGCCAAAAATCTATTCTTTTGGGTTTAGGGTTGCACTCAGCTGCTTCTACTTCTTCTGACATGAGATGCATGTGTGTTTTAGCAACTTGTAGGTGTTCAGGCCTTCTCTGTGGTTTGCACATTGTAAAAATAACCGCTTGAGTAAAAAATGAAACCTAAGGAAAGCAGCTCCCATTTAAATGAGCTCTTACCGGGCAGCAGACATTAAGCTGAGTGTTTCTTATGTGGGGTGACGTTTCACGGTGTGACAGCCCATTTCCTGGGCAGCCCCTGGTGCTCACACTCTTGTGCAGGTCTCTCCACTTGAATTTTGATGGGCCTCTGACTTACTTTAGCCAATACAGTCAGTAGAGGACAGATGTAGGTGTACAATACATGCATATATGTATATATGATTTACTCGTGGAATTGGCTCACATGGCATGGAGGTCGAGAAATCACATGATTTGATTTGCCATTTGTCTTCAACTGGTGGTTAAAGTAAATCTGAGTCCAAAGACCCACGAATCAGGGCACCAATGGTGTAATTCCTAGTGAGTCTGAAGAATCAGCTAATGTCTAATGGCAGGACCAGAGGGAGGTCTTAGTTCAAGCCCAGGGAGTGAGTGCCCCTGTCCTCTGCCTTTTTATTTTCTTCAGTCCTCAAAGGATTGCATGATGCCCACTTCCGCTGGTGAGGGGGTCTTCTTTACCCATCCAAATGCTAATCTCTTCCAGACACACCCTTCCAGAAACACAAGAATTATTGTTTTACCATCTATATGGTCATCCCTTCGCCCGTTAAATTGACATAAAATTAACCATCTCACATGTTCAAGATCACCCAGCTAAGAAGTGGTCAATGTCAGGCCTCCCCTAGTGACACAGAGGTTGGGCGCTGGGCTGCGAAGCTGCCCGCGGCCTCTGCAGCGCCCGTTCAATCCCCGGCCACCAGTGAGGGTCCCACATGGCGCGCAGACCTCTCCTGCCTCCCCTGCTGCTCCCCTCAGCAGTGAGTTTCATCAGTCTGCCTGTTCTGTTCCCCGCTCTGGCTCTGGTGAATTCTCTCACCCTCCCGCGCTTCTGACTGTATCCAGTGCTTGTATAAATCAATCAATCAATCTTAAAAAAATATAAATAAAAAAAGAAGTGGTCAATGTCAAGTTTGAGCTTTCTTGCTATATAGTGGCCTCACTTCTAACCATTAGCCTTAATAGCCTCCCACCCCCTCAATTCCTCCCCACTGGGGAGACAAAAGTGGCGGGGGATAAAAGGCACACCCTTCTCAAGGTTACACCCCCTGTTTCTTAGGTAAAGCACAGAACATGCTTGGAAGGTGAAGCTACAAGAGAAATTTGGGAGGCATTATGTTAGGGGAGTCAAGGAAGTTTCAGGTTGGGGGCACATTGGCAGAACTGGACGTAGGTGGTGTGGCAGATCTAGCTGGACGGAGCAGCTGCTTTTTCCATCTGTCACCTGGGAACCACCTTTAAATGGTGTTCCCGCCCCTGGGCCCTGCCATCCCTCCAGGAGTTAGGAGGGGGATCGGCCCTGCCCATTTGAGAGAAGATTGGCATGAACCATTTAGAAGAACAGCAGACTTGGGTGTAGGTCTTGAACAGTTATCCTTTGATAGAGCAGCTTCGTTTTTTTTTTTTTTTTGAACTTTCATTAATACCCAGGACATCAGAGACAGACAAGCACATGATGACTTCTTCGCATTGTCAGTTACATAGTTTAAGATAAAGACAGTCATTGGAAGCTCTCTAAGCGCATGTGTTTTGTTTTTCCTTTAAAAGAAATACCGGATGGTCTCACTCATAGCAGGAATCTAGAAAACTTAAATAAGGGACCAGGAAAAAGAATAACTATAAGAAAGTAAAAATCAAAATCAACAAACAACTATGAACCAGAGACACTCTATGGGGAGTGGGGGGCGGGGAGGGGAGGGATTGGGGTCAAAATAAGGGGGTCGCAATTGTATGGGGAATATAAAAATAAAAAAAAAATTTATATGCACACACACACACAAAAAGAAATACCAGGCCTCCCCTGGTGGCGCAGGCAGTTAAGCGCAGTGCTGTGAAGCTGTCCACAGCCTCTGCAGCGCCAGTTCGATCCCGGCCTGCCAGCGAGGGTCCCACATGGCACAGCAGACCTCTCCTGTCTCACTCGCTGCTCCCCTCAGCAGTGTATTTCGTCAGTCTGCCTGTTCTGTTCCCCACTCTGTCTCCGGTGAATCCTCTCACCCTCCCGCGTATCTGGCCTGTACCCCAGTTCTTGTATAAATAAATAAATAAAAATCTTTAAAAAAATTAAAAAAAAAAGAAAAGAAATACTGTCGGATCTTTTCATATTTCAAAAGCAGTCTATGCTTCTTGCCATGAGTGAAAACAAAGAAGTATATAAAGAAAAGAACAACCAGGCCTTCTGTGTTCCAACTCTATAGCCATTGGTAATTTCTGCCACCAGTTTTGGTTAATTGAATGTCTTCACTTTCCTTTACAACCACAAGCACATTAGAATTTATGAACATGTATGGAATAGGTTTATTTAAAAAAATACAAAAAAGATTATACCACACACATGATTCTGTGACTTTTTTTAGTATATAATAAATATTTCTGGCCATAGCTCATTTTTATTATTCCCATTATTTTTAATGACTGCATAAGAGTCCATGGTATGAATTATCATAATTTATTCAGCTGTTCCCCTGCTGGGAATATTCTGGTTCTTTCAGTTCTGTCTCTACAGAGAATTCTGCTTATCTGGCCATAGATGCTGATGCTTGTTTTCTGAGCGTCAGTTCCCCAGAGTGGAATTGCTTAGTCAAAGGGCATTCAAATGCAGGATTTCATTAGCTGTTGCT